TGGCAAAGTCCTGTGGACGCAAACGGGAAGAGGAGACTAGGGAGCTTGAGAGCAGATCATGAGAGGAGCGGAGAGGACGACGGTTTAGGTGATACTTGGAGATAAGATTGGTGATGTAGCCTGGGGCAGTGCTGTGGATGGCTTTGTATGTTGTTGTTAGTGTTTTGAATTAAATTCGCTGGGCAATCGTAAGCCAGTGGAGGGACTGGCGGAGGGGGGTGGCAGACACTAAGCGATTGGCAAGGTAGATGATCCTGGCAGTGGCATTCATGATAGACTGAAGAGGGGATAGCCTACCGAGAGGTAGGCCTATGAGAGTTTCAAGACACCTTAGCCCCTGTCCTGAACCTTAATTTAAACTCCATCTTTAATACGTGTCTCTTTCCAAGTCAGTCTCAGGAGGCACAAATTACTTTAAAACCCAAAAATCAGAAAGATCCTACACAATGTTCCAGCTACCATCCAATATCCCTTATCAATGTGGATCCTAAAACTTAGAATTTAAAAATTATTAGCAGATAGGTTACAGTCCCTTATCCCCTCTGTGATAAATTTAGATCAGGTGAGTTTTGTACCCGTACATGAGGCACGGGACATCACCAGTAAAACTTTATCCCTTATCTCCCATTCCCAAAGGCAGCAGATACCGCTTTGCCTCCTTTCTCTAGACGCCAAGAAGGCGTTTGATCATCTTAACTGGGCATTTCTAAAGTGGCTTGAAACATTTGGGACTGCCACAACCTTTCATACAAAAAATGATGGCATTATATTTCTATCCCACAGCACAAATAAGAGTTAATGGCCTCTTATCCGCCCCAGTACATATAACAAACGGTACAGGTCAGGGATGTCCCCTTTCACCTTTGCTCTTCATAATAGCCTTGAAGCACCTGGCTAATGAGAGATCACTCTTCATTTTAAGGCATCGGCATAAAGGGAAAACAGTAAAAATAATCTGTTTTTTGCTGGTGATATTCTACTCTACATCTCCAACCCAAAGATTATGTTCTTTGGAAATTGGAGCTTTTTGGCTTTCTTAGCTACTTTAAAATCAATGCCTGCAAATCTCACTGTTTTGATGTCTCATTAATCAATAACCAGTGTTGCTCTAATAAATATACCTCTCAACAAACAGGAATTCCTCCAGGATACATTTCCCTTTCAATGGTCCCTTGACTCTTTCAAATATTTGGGAGTATTAATACTATCACATCGTTGTGAGTATAGATACCGTCACAGCTGGTTCTCCATAAAACACTCCTGGAGAGGATGAATAGTAACCTTACTGTGTACACAGGCTTTTATTTGTGTTAGAACTGCTTTCCCATTATAAGTCAACGGGAATGTAAAAGCAGATTAAAGCTAGATGATGCTGCCTTGAAGGAGGTCAAATGCAGGTTAGAAAGAAATACACATTAGTGTAGGTTATGTGCATTAGTGCATTTAGGTTGACACCACAGTTCACAAAGGCAACGCATATGCATGGCAGCCCTCCACAACGCACAGTAATGCACTACTCTCATGCAAGCTGCTATTGCCCATTGACCCAAAGCAGTCTATTGTTTCCTTCTTGCCTTTTTCCCTTTTTTTGTCTCCTTTTTTATTTACACACACACACATAGAAGGCAACATGCATAATAAAAAGGCATTGTTTAAAGACAAATGAAAAAGTCCCTGTTTGGATTTAATGCATTTTAACTACACAAGAAAAAACTGTTTACCAGAGGTTCTAATAAAGTACCAACTAAAGGAGTAATTGTACAGTGATATGATCATTGTAAATGTAAAGTAAAGATCCATTCTAAACTAGAACTGTTCACAAAGCAAGGATCATTCTAGTAGACCCCTGATCTGTGATCTGTCTGTCAGCTGGTCAGCCTTTAGTGGCTATAATTTTAGGCACAGTGCCAAAAATAGGTAACCGCTGAGCATGTGCAGATCAAGGTGAAACAGTATATTTCTGAATTTTAAACAGTATTTGTATTTTTTGTATTGTATTCTTTGTATTGTTGTACATAGCTATACCTGAAAAATGGACCAGCCTGAAGTGATCTATCAGGACTTAATTTTTGACTGAAGTTAGACTTTAAATATTATTAGAGGGAATTGGGCTTTAATTTGTTAGTCACTTATGTATTGTCCATTTAAATCTACTAGTCTATCTAACTCTACCCTCCCCACAGATTGACAATGCTGTATTCAAGGGTGGCTATGCTACTTCTTCATAAGTACAGTGGAGGACTAACATAGCCAGAGATGTGTTTATTAGCCATATCACCAGGTGAATATAAGTGAAATAGCATATATAAACTAATGCAGCCACCGCATTTAAGGATTATTAATCTGCAATATCTTATGTTATTGTTTTTGGTTTTAGATATTCATGAAGTGCAAAGTGATTACTGGTTACTGATCTAAAATGTTGGCCTGTAATTACTTTGTTGCTGTGGATTGAGCATCATTATTGTTAATTGCCCTACCTTATTAGTTAAGCTTGAACAGTACTGATGATCTTACACAGACTGAGTCACCCTATTATGTAGATTCCCATTTCTAAACTGTTAAGGTTCATTTTGTTGACCCACAGTTCACAGTACTCATAGAATCATCTTTCACTTTGCCATTCGTGGAAAAAAATATCAATTGTAAATTTGATAGCTTAAGAGTAAGCTTTCAAGCCAGATATGGGCTGGTTACAATACTGGACCTGATGACAACAATTGAAAGAATTTATTTACAAGCAAACTCCCTGCTTCCAATCCTCCAGTATCAGTTTCTTTATTTTTAGATTCTATGCCGGCAGTCAGGCAGCTGGTCCAGCAGCACAAAGTTAAGCCAATTATGACAAAATATCACCATTTTCAACCAAATAATTTTTACCTGAAATGTATGCAAGGCTGTGTTTATGTCCACATCAGTGTATAAATAATATATACAAGATATGTTGAATTACGGAGTTGTGTAAAAAACCTGTACAGTGTTTATATAACACATTTTCAGTGTTTCAGTTTACCCATCAAATGTTCTTTCAAGTAGTATTTTCGCAATTCTTATTTTTTCATAATATAGAACCAAACATACATGAAGAAATGGTAATTTGCATGAAAGCTCTTGTCAGTACACCACATGTTTGTAGTTTGGTAAACAGTTCCGTACATGCAGTCTCAGATGTGTGGTTGGAATATTCAAATATGGTCTCTATGAATGATTTCAGTAAATAGTGGTTTATACCTGTCTGTTGACTGTCCATTATGCAGAACAATGAGATGTAAATGAATTAGATAATGCTTTATTATATATTAAAATTAGAAATACCTTCTGGATGCGTTTCTGCATGCACTTTTTTTTACGCATTTTTGGTGCGTTCTGGTGCATTTTTGATTCATTTCAGTGCGTTTTTGATGTGTTCCGATTCATTTTTTCCCCATCTCTTCAGTTCAAATAGGGACTTGTGCGTTCCGGTGCGTTCCGGTGCATTTGTTATGTGTTTTACAGTGTTCCAGTACAATTCTGTACAGGAAAAATACAGCCTGTTTACTTTTTTTTCTGCAACCGGAATGCACTGGAACTGCAAGCACTGATGTGAACTATGACATTTACAACCATATAACCTACTTTCTGTGCATTTTGGATGCAGAAAAAAAAGCACACTGAAACGCATGTAGTGCGCACTAGGGCTGGTTCACACCACATGCAGTCCAGTGCATTTTTTTCTGCATAAAAAAATGTATGGATAGTAGGTTATACAGTATGATTTCCAATGGCTTTGTTCACACCAGTATGTTTCTGTTCAAAAATAAAAGAAGAACATGCTGCATTTTTCCTGCACCGAACTGTAATGTAAAATGAATAGAAAACGCACCAAAGTGCACGTCATTATTTAAGGTGAAGAAAAAAATAGGGTGAAAAAATGCACTTGAATGCATAAAAAATGCGTTGAAAACATGCACGCAGAAACGCATCCAGGATGCGTTTCTGTGGTGTGAGCAAGCCCTTAATTCTATCTTCTCCAAATTTCAGATGAAGGGAATAGATACAAAATGTATTTAAAGTGAAGAACAGGAACAGAATCATTTTTTTTTCTACAGTGCTCATTTCTTGTTCAGTCATATACCAATCTACTATATACTGTTTTGTGAAATAAAATACGTTTTATACTATAAAAGTTGTAAGGATCTCACTATAATATTAGATATCCGGTTAAACAAGGGTAGGTCAAAGTACGTTTAGATATTTCTTCTAATTTGACATCTATTTATTATGATCCTTGTAGACTATTTGACCATTCCATGGAAGGATTTAAGAACTGGGAATTTATGACCACACACTGCTGGGGAGAGAAGGCCTCAGGAGACTGGAATCTGGAAATTTATGATACCCCTTCACAGTTGAGGAACTTCAAGACACCAGGTACATTTTTATTGTACTCATATACGTTATTAACACTGTGCTCATGTTTAAAGCAAACCTTTTACTTGCAAACTAAAATCGAATAACTTATTTTTGACAAAATTGCATAGCAGTAACAGGCAAGGAAATTAAATTCCAAAAAGTTGCAACATACCATAATATCACAGTGTTCAACAACTTGGTATTGTAAAGAAGCTATAACAGTGAGATTATAACACATTTAGCTATATAAAGCAGTAGGAATCAGAACCCACCCCTAAAGTCTAAACAGAGAAGGGATAGAGGCAATGAGGGAAATTAGACAGTTTTAGGTGTGTATAAAAAAACAGGAGTTTTAGGAGAAGCCCAAAAAAGCATATTTTTAGGTAGTACACCAAGAATTTCTGGAACATGCAAAGGTGTGTTGAAACACCCAGAACTCCCAGATCTTAGAGTAGGATCATGAGAGAAATACAACAGCTACCATTACTAATCACCTCCTGCTTTATGTACTGTGCTGCTCTAATACCTAGTATTTGGGAAAGTCAGAACTGTTTTTCTCTAACTATATATTACATGTCAAAGTATTGAAGTAAGTAGATTATTATGACAGTAGGGGGCCTCATGAGATGCCCCTGGTACCTTTTTCATAGGCTTTTTTTTAGTTTGGGCAAGGACACAGGGGCCCCATGATCCCCTATTGCCCAGGGGCCCCATGAGTTGTCAGTCCGCCCCTGGGCACACCCCTTCATGTTTGTGTTACCCTGCACCTGGACATACTGTATGTTGGCGCACATTACTCACATGCATTGTGCATGTGTTTTAGGAGTGCATCCATTAGTTTCTGACCTTGTTGCATGTTCAAGCATCAGAAGACATACATATTACTAAGACACTGCAGTCCAGGCATCAGTGTTGCATTGCCATGCGATAAAAAAGAATCATGTTTGTTTTTTAATGACCCATAGCAAATGAATGAGCAAATGCAAAAATAAGTGGTAGGAATGCACCCTTAATGAAGTCATGACAGTTTTAATATACCATGCTCTAAATTGTTGCCCAGTTACCTGTAACTAAAAGAACTATATATGTGGCCATTTCGGACCTCTCCTTTGAAAATTTAGTTGGCTTCCTGACATAATTATTTGATGACCTTGGTGCAGGTTAAGGATTCTTATTTCACATATTTCATTCTTTTACCAGGTCATTGATTCAAAGGGTATTGAAGACAGCCAGGCAATTAGCATTTTCACAATGGGCTCAGTAATGTCAGCCTAGATATTTCTATCAGTACAGGCTTCCTTTACATGTCTGGAGCTGCTGTTTAAAACTAGATTTTTAACTAGCAAAATTTCATCCAGAAAGCTTTACCCGTTCTTTAGCGTCATATAATTTTACATAATGCATACATTTTCAGGGACGTATTCTGTCTAGTATGTCAGATGCCATTGGCGGAGAAAACATGTCAGTTGGGGCTTAGCTGGTGATATCATACCCGCTGTTTCCCAGAAACGCAGCGTTTTTTGTGCTCTTTGTTATTTTTGGCTGTGTAAGTATGTATTTGGCTGGTAAATAAAGTTATTTTGTCTGGCAGTATTACACTCAACTCCTTTGTAATCTAACCTGGGGAAGTGTGCTTGCTGAAGGAGGCTGTTACAAGTAACTTTTTTGTATTGAGCACATATTGTTCTCCCTTTGTTTAGGGGATCAATTCCATCTGGTTAGAGGCTAAATTATTTGCTCAGTGGAAGAGTCATGTGGAGATACATTTACCTGCTGTTTTTACCTTGTATTTGCTGGAAGGAGAGTGCATGGACTTTGCACACAACAAAAAATATTTTTTTTGCACTGTTAACCATTTGTCCTCTTGAGGATTTACCACCCTTCATGACCAGGCCATTGTTTGAATTACAGCACTGAATTACTTTAACTGACAATTGCGCAGTCGTGCAACAGTTCACCCAAATGAAATTGACATCCTTTTTTTCCCACATATTGACCTTTCTTTTGGTGGTATTTGATCGCCTGTGCGGTTTTTATTTTTGCGCTATAAAAAAGAATGTCTGACAATTTTGAGAAAAAGGCAATATTTTTGCTATTAACCTCTTGGCGCCGGCCAAACGCAAATGTGCGGCCTCCCAGCATCTGCACCTAGACGCTGAGCAGCCGCACATTTGCTTTCTATTAAAAAAAATGTGCTGAGAGCACGCGCCTTGCACGCTCCCAGCATACATCCAGTGCTCACAGAAAGGTCCCGATCTCTTCTTTCGATTGGGACCTTTCCCAATCATGTGACTGCCATGACTGCGTGTTACTGCGGTCACTTGACCCTAAACCCCGCCCTGCCTCCTGACTTCTGAAACCCTTATAGGGCCGGGAGGCGCGGTGCCAAGGGGTTAAAGATGTCCAGTAAAAAAATGTAAAAAATCTAATATCGTCATAAATTTAGGCCAAAATGTATTCTGCTACATGTCTTTGCTAAAAAACTTGGTTGGTGTCACTGATATCCCCAGTGACACCAATACAGTGATCAGTGCAGGGAGTGTTTTAGTAGGGGGTGGTGTCTGTGTGCTTCACTGTAAGCACACTGGTTTGGATGGCTGTGCTGTGCACAGCCATCCAAAGCAGTCTGTCCGAGCTGACAGGGAGAACTTTTAATAAATAAAACCGTCCTCCTCCCCATCAGAAATGCTCGGTAATCACCGGGCGCCGGCGGGTAATCGATGGTCGGGACCCGGTGATTGACAGCCGCGGTTACGTATGGTAGGGCGCACATGCGTTACCTTCCCGGAAATGCAAAATCACATATATATACATGATTTTGCACACTCCTGCTGCCCTGTAGTAGTATATCTGCTATAGGGCGGCGAGAAAGTGGTTAATTTGCATGTTCGCGTTTGGTTCATTTTGATTGTGTATATTATTGTTTACATTAGCAGTAGCACTTTAATGTTTATGAATTTTAAAGGGAAGCGCATCTATTTATTTTAAAGTATCTAAAGAGTTTTCTACACTTAGCGTGCTGCATCCAACTAGACACTAAGCGCAAAATATTTTTCTTTATATATTTTATAGCATGTCAGATGACTGATGACATTATTGCTGCACAATTTTTTTCAAGTATTCATTAATTTTGTATATAGTTCCCCATGTGGCAGCCAAACTTCATTCAAACTGATGCATCCTAACATATTAATAAAATATACAGCTGCAGAGTTTGGCTACATAAGGTTCACCAATATTACTCATATAAATCCTGAACGTGATCAGTATTGTAATAACCTTTAAACCTCTTGAATATACAGCAATAAACATGACATATTTTCATATACTTTATTATTGTATCTACAAACCTAGATTTAGCTAGGGTAGATATTATTTGAAAAATATTTTCAAAAGTATCTGTGCCTCTAATGGAAACAGTTTTGTGTTTGTATAGGTATAGTTTGGATAACGTTTGCCCTGTGAAAATAGTGGTTTGAAAGTTAGTATTTTCTTAATAAACTGTGGTATTTGGCTGTCCATGCTTCTTGTCATTTGATCTCATCATGGTTGAATAAATCATTCTCAGCTGAAAAGAAAAATGAGCCCAAAAATGTAAAGTTGTACATTTTCATCTGCATTATGAAGCAACTATTTATTTTTCACTCATTGAGGGACACAGAATTCAGGGACATTTGGGTAAACTGCCAACTACATGTAAATTTGGACACTGGCAAATAAAAAACAGTGAGCAACCTGGTATAATTTCTCCCATTCTAAGCATATCTCAGTTTTTTGTTAATGTCTTAAGAGGATGGATGTCTTCTCTGTACTGAGAATAGTTTTCTTTTTTTGTTCAATATTTTTTTCTTCAATCAAGACTGTGGGTATCTGGATCAGTGTCCTCAGGAACAGCTTAGGAGGCTGTACCCAGACCCTGCTAGACTGAATGATTGCATGCATGGAATATGACCTTCAGGCACTGGGTTCTGCTTTTGGTGCTTTGGGTACTGTGTTGGTGAACCACAGAGCACTCTCTAAGTCCTGAGTCATGGCGCAGCCTCTGGCATGACCCAGTCTCTGAAGACTCATTTATGAGTAGGGCATGTGGGCTGACCATTAGGAGTTGCTATGTTTCTTAGAACCATCGGGCTCCATTATTATACTTTCTTCTCCATTGGTCTTCAAAGTTAAAATACTGATAAATTCAGTGCTACATCACTTGACGGAGTGTCACAAGTGAGCATTTTGAGCGCTGTTTCTGCCTTCAGCGTGAGGTAGCATCTTGCTGCCATTCATGCTATTCACAAAAGACCACCTTGGTCAGTCCTTGCTCCTGCGTACAGCGACCTGGTCATCTCTTCCCAATTAAATTTCTCCTGCTTCCAGCAGTAGGTTCAGGACTATCCAAAGCTTTTACCTGGTATACTAAGCTAAATTGTTCCTTTTGTCCTGCAACATGAATTCGGCCTCTCCGCCTTTCAATACACTAGCATTTCTGGGGTGACTTGCAGTGTTCCTTTTCAAGGACCTGAATTGGAACATTGTTCCCTGCTTGAGTCCCCACATTCGCAGGAGGTATGCTGGATTTTGTGAGCCAAATTGCAATGTTAATTACAATACACAACCCTTCTATGCTATATGATAGTGATTAAATTCTAACACAAAAATAATAAATGAATAAATCAATACATGTAAAATACCATAGAATAGCTGTCATAGTTGAAATACTCCTAAAAACGTGTGAAACATTCTGAAGGTCATGGTATGAAAGATCCTCATCTACTAGGGTGCTGCTAAATAAACTCCAGGTCATAAATGACAGTGACGCACACGTAAATAAAAATGTGACAAAAATTCTCAATTGATAAATACATAAATATAAACATTCAAATGCCAGTGATGTGTCCTTAACTGCTTCCTCACCACCCTATAGCAGAAATACTGCTACAGGGTGGCACTGGTGCACAAAATCACGTGTATATATACGTGATTTGTGCTCCAGCAGTGACCGCGGGTTGGGGTCGCATGCGTCGGCCGACCCAGCGGTGCCGTGATTCGATGCCCAAGAGATCATTCATCAGATTCAGGCTAGTGATCTTTGGCCTGGATCTGATTATTGATCCCTGCCCTATCACAGATGTTCCTGTACCTCTGTTTACACTTACACAGGTACAGGAAATGATGAAATCTTCTCTCTCTGGGCACATTCCGTCCCATAGAAAGAAGAAAGCAGATACATGTGAGCAAAACAGAAATCTTTTACAGTTAGAACACATTTATGTCACATTTAACCCCCTAATCGCCCCCCAGTTAACTCCTTCACTGCCCTGTCACCAGTGTCATTAGTACAGTGTACACATTTGTTTTTACTGATCACTGTATTAGTGTCACCAGCGACTTCAGCTAGCGTTAGTGCCCATCCCAGATAGCATCAGATTGCCCATCACAACATCAGTCATCTCATTTAACCCCTTGATTGTCAGGAACATGCTCACATTCACAATACACCTCCATTGCTAGTATAGTGTCTGAACGTATTAATATCTTTGATCAGATCAGCACTATTCACATTAGTATAGTGTCTCCAAAAACACTGCTAGCTGGATCAGCCCTGGCACCTTCCAGCACCTGCTTCTAGCCCCTGTGATTAACCCCCCTTCTCCCCCAGCAAGTTCAGTGTCAGTAGGTCACTGTCACTTGTTACATTGCACACAAAACCATAGTATTCGCAGAATCAGGCATGATCTCTGAGCACTTGCAGGTAAATTTTTTTGTAGCGGTTCAAGCAGTCCCTGACGGCCAGGTGCTCTTTTTCCCATGAG